GCCCAACAGATAAGGCCTCCAGCACCTTACAGCCTCGACAACTGCTAGCATCTCCTTCACGTACACCGATAGACCCAACCGAGTAGTGCCCAGTGCCTTGCTGAGATAGGCTAGGGGCCGTCCCTCTTGCACTAGCACAACTCCAATTCCCATGTCACTCGCATCGGTGTGTACCTCATACAAGATATCAAACCTGGGCATCGCGAGTACTGGTGTTGTAGTCATGGCTTCTTTTAGTTTTCCAAACGCCTCCTCGCTAGCTTCGATCCATGTGAACCCACCTTTCTTAGTCATCTCTGTCAGTGGCTTGGCGATGGTTCCATAATCCTTCACGAACTTTCGGTAGTAGCCCGTGAGTCCTAGGAATCCTCTCAACTGCGTGAGACTTGTTGGCTTAGGCCAATCAACCATAGCCTCAATCTTTCGTGGATCGACCTTCACGCCCTCGTGTGATATGAAGTGCCCCAAATACTCAACCATCATCTGCCCAAAAGAACATTTGGATGGCTTTATGTGGAATGAGTTGGCCTCCAGAATTTCGAGCACTACTCTCAAATGCCCAAGATGTTCGCCCCATGACTTCGAATAGATTAGGATATCATCAAAGAATACCAAGACGAACTTACGCAGATACTCCTTGAAGATAGAATTCATGGCGAACTGGAAAGTGGATGGGGCGTTGCACAATCCAAATGGCATAACAAGATACTCATAGTGCCCCTGGTGCGTACGAAATGTTGTCTTTGGAATGTCGGCTTTGTGGAGTCGAATCTGATGGTAACCAGCTCTCAGATCGAGCTTAGAGAAATAGCGTGACCCGGCTAACTCATCGAGCATGTCATCAACGCTCGGGATAGGAAATCGGTCCTTGATGGTCGCAGCGTTCAGAGCTCGGTAGTCAGTACAGAACCTCCACGTGCCGTCTTTCTTTTTGGCTAACAGGACTGAAGAAGAAAACGAACTCTTGCTATGCTGTATTAGTCCTGATTCAAGCATCTCAGCCACTTGCCGTTCGATCTCGGTTTTCTGAAAGTGAGCATACCTATAAGGATGAACGTGTATGGCATGCTGCTCATTGATCAGCAGTATACGATGATCGAACTCCCGGTGTGGGGGTAGTCCCTTAGGTTCGCCCAGTACTCCCTCAAATTCTCTGGAGAAGCTCGTGCATATCTCCCTGCTGTTGCTCCTCTTGATCTATGTGCGCCTCAGTCTTCTCCACTACTACGACAAATATTTGGCCTCCACCCCGCCAAACCTTCTCAATACTCTTAAGCCCTACTTCTTTGGCACCTTTTTCATTGCCCGCACTCAGTGTGACTTGCTGACCTCCAGCGTTGAATTCCATAATTCTTGTTCGATAGTCGGTGGTTACCTTGCCTAACCCTTCGAGCCATTGTACTCCTAGGACGACATCCGGCCCAACCAGAGGTAAGGCATAGAGATCAGCCTTTACCGTAACTCCGCTGAACCTGATTGGCACCTTCCGGAAGGATTTAGTGCATTGCAGCCTCTCACCATTGGCTACTCGTACCTCAAAAGGTTCGATATTCGTGGTTGGTAAGTTCAGCTTCTGGGACAAGTCGGCATTGATGAAGTTGTGTGATGACCCGTTGTCTACTAGCACCACCACCTTCCGATCCTTGACCCAGGCCGGCAATCACATCGTTCGAGGCCCTCGTATCCTGGCCATCGCGTGCATTGAGATTTCTGCTTCTTCGTCAGGCCCCTCAACTACGATATCCTGATGTGATTCCTCCTCGTCTTCAGATCCTTCCTTATCAGGATTAGCAACTTCGATCACAAAGGCTTGCTTACACTGATGACCTGGTGTAAACTTCTCCTCACACTTGAAACTTAAGCCTTTCTCACGTCGACGTTTAACTTCCTCGGGAGACAGCCGCCTCATTATCGACCCCGCTGGCCGATTGTTGACACTCGGCCGTGCGCCGACCGTGGCTTGGTTCGGCCCCGTGCGTCGCGCGTCAGCGTATCGCACATCCACCCGTCCCTTTCGCGTAGCGACTAGATGGTCTTCTCGTCGGCGGGCCACCTCCATGGCGTTACGCATCGTGTCCGGCCGCTCCAGTCGGACTTCTGCGGCCAGATAGTATCTCAGTCCAGCTACGAAGGCTCCTACTAGCGCATCTTCAGACCAATCTCACACACGACAGGATAGTCGTTCAAACTCCTTGATGTATTCACGCAAATTGCCTGTCTGTCGGATTTGTGCGAGAGCCTCATTATAATTATGGTAATCGGACGTGCCAAATCGAGTAAGCAATTCTCTCTCAAAATCAGCCCATGTAATGACCTGTTGCCGCCTACGGTAGATCCGGGAAAGCCACTGCCACCATACGTTGGCCTCACCATCTAAATAGAATGCTGCGTACCTTACTCGATCGTGGCCGTCGGTTTCATTCAGTTCAAAATATTGCGCGATTCGGTTGAGCCAAGCCTCCGGATCATTACCCGTGAAGATGGACATTACGAATCTTGGCTTGTCGGGCTTAGGCCCTCATGGTAGGTGGACGCTTGCGACTGCTGATCGAAATCCTCCTCGTGTTCGTAACGCTCGCGTCGCCGACCCTCCTCCTGTTCTTGTGCGTGCCGTTGCTCGCGTCGATCCTCGCGCCGTGGGGATGGTGTGCGATCGGCGTTCTCACCGTTCTGGCGGAGTTCGCGCCTTGGGGGATCGTCGCGGTGAGGTGGTTGCTGCTGGAGCGCACGTAAGACTTCCTCTAATCGCTGTTCGAGTCGTGTTACAACGGCGTTGGTATTGTTTTGACTTTCGTCAAGCGATCCAAGCCTTCCTTCTATAACCTCGATCATACTCCGCATCTGGATGTCAAGATTATCGATCTTATCCTTCATCTCCTTGTTGGCCATGGCTTTTCTTTCTTCTCTCCGCTCTTTGCTTTGTGGACTCGTGATTGAGA